CATCTACCATACATACCTCTACGTAGTTTCCTTGATCTTTTAAAGAAATTAGTAGAACTCAGTGCGGCAGAGGTGTTCTGAGGTCTCTGGACAAAGCCTAAATCTCATTCTGTCATTGAAGATTCAGTTTTATAAGCGCACAGAGTGACTACAGACCTTGGTTTACAGGTTTACAACTGTGCCTGCTTTTTTTGTGCATTCAAAAAAGTAGTGGTTAACTGAGTAAGTGTTCCTGCGAAGAGGGAATAATCATGGGAAAAGGGAAATAATGCGTTTCAACCACATGTGTTTCTAGCAGATAGGCCCAAAACGTGATGAATTAAAAAAAAAAAAAAAAAAAAGATAACATATTTTCATTCCTTTTTTAGTCAAAAGTGCCATGTGTTTTTATGTATAAAAACAAGTCTGTATTTGTTATGCAAATGCAACTTACTTATAAAGTGAAATAATTTTAAAGCAAATTGAACATGTATCTGTGTGGTATCTGCTACCAATCATTTTTTAAGCATTATCAAGATCAGCACATGGAGGCTGGGACTCAAAAAATTGTTTTCCATTCCCTGTCAGTGAGTGGATATTTGAGAAGCTCAAAAGTGGTATTTCTTTCATCTTTGACTTTCAACAATTTCACCAAATAATCAACATGCACTGCAAAACTTCATAAAGTTTTATATACAGTGTTCAACTAAAGGCTCTATGTGTGTATATGCCCAAACAGATAAACATCATTTGCCTATTGCAGTGTTGAAACCCAGGTTTGAAAAAAACATTGAAGTTATACTGGCTTTATACATGTCAGTGCCAACATCACTCATGACAAAGGAATCTGTCACTTATACTCCAGTTGCAAGCAGAGGGAAAACTCCCCTACAACTCCTCCTTTTAGCCTGAAGAGACTATTTCTAAGATTTTGCAATGTATAGGTAGAGCTTCATGATATTTCCTTTAACAATAGACTTAGAAGTTGGAAGAGGAAGATAGACACTAAATGCTGAATTGCTGCCTTCCAAAATTTCCTGAGACAGGTGGTAACAAAATGGCTAGGGTAAAAAATGGGGGGAAAGGCAGGGAACTGAAAAGGGTCAACAGCATGGATCTTTGTGGAGAAAAAGCAGGAAGTGCAGGAAAAAATGGATGATATTGTAGAAAAGTCAAGCTGGAGTATAAAAATGGGACCTGAAGAAGAAAAGTAAAGAAACTATCGAGCGTAAATGATAAATAGAACTGTCAGGTAAGTCTAAGGTGTGTGAGTCAGCTTTCCTGAATTAGTCTCCTGTTTGCCTTTCATCAAGTGATGTTGAAAAAGATACATTTTCTTTTAGTACTTCAGCTTCCTTATCAGCAAAACAAAGATATAAAATATACAACTGTCACAGAGAGCTGAGAAGACCTTTAATTCAAGATACAGAAGTAATGACACTAATCTACTGCTATTAGAGAATGAAAAATTACTTCGTTTTTTACTATTTGGTATGCAAATGCCTAGTAATGATAACTGAGAAAAGTTCCATTGTGTATGGTACTGTACAAAACCATAGAAAGAAAACAATTCTGACATTGAAAGGTACGGATATGAAAAACGATGAGAAAAACAAAGGTACGCAGCAACTTCACCCCCCAAAAAATCTTAAAATTGTGTGTGAGAATGGAGAACTGTGGTACAAACAGAAGCAGGGTAGAAATAACATTGTTCTTCTCAATTTCATAACTGTCATTCAGCAAGAAAACAGACACTGCGATTTTGAGAAACATAGGCTGAGAGACCACGGACATCAAAGGCAATGAAAAATCTGAGTTTTTTATCCAAGAATGGCTAGTGTGAGGTAAGTACTTTTCACTAAAATAATAAATGCTTTTTATTTTTTCCTAAGTAGGCATGAAGACAAGCTTCTGAAACTTGAAAATGGTCAATAGTGACAAAAGCAGCCAAGAGAAAGGAAGATAAGTTCATCACTAAGAAAAAAGTACACATTTTGAGAAACACCAAGACATGTATCAGGAGTAGAAACTACAAGCCTAGCAGCAGATACGACTTAGAATTTACTTTCATATTCCTTTCCTCCTAATTCTTGGATAATACTAAGGTTTTCTTTGTTTTCCGAACGAAATTGCCCATCAGACTCACTAAGCATACAACAGACTTGTAAAATGACTGCCTTTCTATGCTCAGACTAAATAAGTACATCTTAAGAGGAGAGAGCATTGAAAATTTCCTCCACTTTCTGGCTTCTAAAAGAAGCTATAATGTCATGTTTCTCAGACCGTAAGAAGGCATACAATGATTTGGAGGACCAAATAAACCTCTGGAGACAACATTTGCCTTTTTCCTTGAAGCTATTTCACAGGAATGTTTGACTCACAAGAGAAACGGCATTTTCAACGTATATCTTCTCTGCTCTCAATAATTTTAACTTTAGCAGGTTTTAATCTAGCAGTTAGTTTGTTTATCTGATTCCCACTTAGGTTCTGCTTCCGAAAATGCTCTTCTTTTGTATTAGCACCACACAGCTTTGGCGAGGTTTCAAAGTTTTTTTAAGAAAGAATTCAATGGACTGCTATATAGATAATTTATGCAGAAATTACTGTCAGTCTCATGGGCAGCTACCTAGCCTCACTGCGATTGGAACTAATAACTATTACCCAGATATGATAATTTCATTTAACATTAGGAAAACATCTGGTGCCTTCATTTCTTCTTGTAAAATAATGCCAATGTTTTACTAAATCCACTTTCATTAAAACAAGACAAAGCAGCTAAGGAAAAACATACACACAGATGATAAATTTTTCCTCTCAATCGTCTTTGTTCAACCTCCCCCAGAAATCATACTCTCATAGATTTTTGAAGTAGGAGGGGACTACTAAAATCTCATCTCAGCTCCTGTATAATGAAGGCTATCTATTCCATTGAGTAGCCTCTAAATCAAAAGCATAATGTGTTTGGGATATGCTGTATCTATTTTTCTCACAAATGGCTGCATGTGATGGATGAATCCAGCCCACTCCTAGATAAGTTGTACCAGTGGTTAATTACTCCAACTCTTAAAAATATGTGCCTTATTTCTGGTCTGAATTTGCCTAACCTCAGTTTTGAAACATTGGATCCCATTATGCCTTTTTCTGCTAAATTAAACAGTCATCTGCTGTCAAAAGTCTCATTCCCATTAAGACACTTACAGGCCATGATCAAGTAACCTCTTAACCTTCTCTTCAGCAGATTAAACAGACTGATCTTCTTTAGCCTCTAACTACAATGTTTATTTCCAGACTTACAGTTATTCTTTCACCTTTAATGAACTCTGTCCAATTTTAAACATATTTTTGAAGTGTGGTCACCAGAAAAGGACACAATAATTCATTAATAGTTTCCCTAATGCCATACAAAAATGCACTGTTATTACCTACTTAATATTCACTTGTCTATATATCAGAGAATACAATATATACCATTTAAAATCCTTCTTTAGCTTACTGATAAAACAGAAAGTATTCTGACAGGAATTTAAAGTGTGAACATTTATTCTGTTTTTTTTACACACAATGCAGAAAACATATGCAGCTCTTCTATCTTTTCTATATTATGTATACTTTTCTATATTATCTACATCCAATGTCACTTCTGTCACTTAAGATATTTTTCTGATAGTTTTTGCCTTCCTCTATCAGTTTCCTGTTCTTAAATGTTTTTTATAGCATTATTTACTAGTAGTATGTAGTAGTAGTAGTAGCAGCTGTTCAACTCCAGTAGTACCTTTTAAGGTAATTCTGCTTACAACCTTATTTTAAAATATTTTCTTGCATTATTATTTTCTTCTTGTAAGGAAATTACATGCGTGAAGAAATATGCTTATACAAAATAGACGTATATTTTGAAAACACACAAATACCAATATAGTATCTTAGCCAGAACTATTATATTCTATTTTCTGATAAATCAGTCTCATTAGCTAAAAATACGTAATTTTACCAGAAAGGTTACTCTAATAGATAGAATGTATAAAAATATTTTGATTTATCTTTCATGGTATATGTATTTAATTAGCTTGTATTTCTTACACAGGCAGCTCTAGCAAATAGCATTTACATCAAGCAAACTCTAATTTGCACCTGAAAGTTGCTTCAGACACTGAATAAATCAAATGAGATTATACAGTTTCCATTTACTTTTCTTTTTGAGCATGATTTTCACTTATTGGTTGCACTACAAAAACAGTCTTAGCTGCTTCTAATGCTTACGTTTGGATTAATTTCATTAGGTAGATAATGCCACTTAATTTACATACTATGGGATAAGATAATACAAATCAGAAAAACATTTGTAGTCATTTGGTTGCTAGTTGGAACAAAAGTTCTTAACTATCAGTGCATTTTCATGTCACAAAATACTTACTAACCATGAACTCTTCACACATAAAGCCTAGAAAATACCTTTGTTCAACAGAATAAACCTTAACTTGACCTGAAATGTTTCAGCTGGATAGAGAAATCCTATAGTTTTGGTTTTTTTTTTCTGATTTATCTTTTTCATTCACATAGAAGAAGGAGAATTTGTTAATGTACTAAAAGCAATACAAAATTATGTGGTCTGACACCATAACTCTGTTGGGTATAAGTCTAGATTATTTCAACTGCAAACAAAAATCTTCTATTCAGGATGTGCAATTGCTAGTACACTAGAAGTAGTCTTCTCTAGTTCTTGGATACAATATACTAGATAAACACAAAAGATATCTAGATAAATAGAAACAGAAGAAGGAGAGCTGAAAGAAAAAATGTGCAGAAAAGGGAACAATATATTAATATGCAGAGGCGAAAAACATTCAGAGAAAGAGAAGTTGTCTCTGCATTTAAAAACCCCACGGATTATGCACATATAAAAAAGGAAAAAGAGTGAATAAGAGAGAAAATTAAGGGTGGGGAGAAGGAAAACTAAGTTAAGAAGATGAAGAGAAAAGTGTTTCTGGCAACAAAAACTAAAGACGCCTCTAATTTAAACTTACTTTCTGATATTTTTAGAGTCCACAGTTCGAATCTGAATTAGAACAAGTTCAAAGTTTTCTGCCAGACAAAAATGAAACTAAAGCACTGTCATTTTTTCTGGTAACTCAATAAATACCTTGTGTCATCTCTTTATATCTCAAGACTTAAATAATTTTGACTCTTTTCAAAACTTCAGTCTTTAAACTTTCAATGTTCTTTTAACTGCTTCACATATTCCCTGACATCAAGAGACCTCTAATTGATTAGTTACTTCTATTATCTTCATCAGCTCCTTTTGCAACAAGTATTCTGGGGAAAATACTCAGAACCTTCCCAACGTATGCTATAAGTAAAGCAGCCTAAAGCATTCTGAGATACTGAAGTTAAATTGATTTTTATTTCCAGGTAGAAGCTGAAAGCCTAATAATTATTTTTAAAAATTAAATCTATATGTACGCTTTGATTGGCTCTAAGGTTATAAGATTAAATAATGACTATTCGGCCTTGATTTCTAAACAAATTTTGTACTCTCTGAATCTGATGAAAAGAACTGAGCACACATTCTTCAATTTCTGCACCAGTTACCTTGGACCTCAATTTGTCTAATTTCAAATGCCAATGCAATGTTCACTGCAAAGCTTTAGGTGAAAGCATAACAACTCATAAAAACTGAATATACTAGCTAGAAGTCTTCAAAATGTACCAAAGATCAGACAAATATTGTTAAACATCTCTCTCTTTGGAATATCTGAGACAGCTCTGTGCTATCAAACACATCATAGAATAAACCATCC